AAATGTTCAAGAAACAAACAGAAGCAACCAAGGCCACTGTTATTATTTTTTCCTTAATGTATTCAGTTCCATGTTAAGTGTGAATAGAGAAGATGGGGTGTCAATAAAATTTCTTGTTATTAAAAAAAAAACACAAAAACTTTATAGCCACCCATTTTCTTCAGGTATCATGTAAAAAAAGACGGCTTTGGCATGGTGAATGCCCCAGGCCTCTCAGTTCTTTAGGAATGAACAAGATGCATGCTCTCATAATTTACGAAAGTTCTTGGCCTTGATCGTAATAATGTCGAGAAGTCTATATTTTTCATTTTTAAATTTCATTTTCCCACAAACTTTTTGAAGACCCATTGTAAAATTTACTTACAATTCTAGAGCTGCACCAGCTGCAAAATAATAATCATAAAAAAAAGCTCTGCAGAAACATTTCCTATTAGCCGCTCCAAACAGATATGCAAGGTCTCCAGGATAACAGCTGGTATCTTGAGAAATTGAATTTTCCAGTGCCAGGTAAGGTTGATGAGGTATTAGCTACTGAATGGAATACATCATACAAGATTTGACAAGCTTGAATTAATACCTAATGTTCTCAAAAGGGGGCGGGAAATGATTGGCGAGCAATCAGTGAGCATTCCCGAAGAGGCCACAGACATCGTGAAAGCAGCTAAATACGAAAATACACCCCATTAGCAGGTCACAAATGGACTGGCACTGGCTCTGTATTGCTGAGGGTAAAATGAAAGCTTAAGGAAATGTGTGAACACAGCAGGGAATGATCACCTCCGCTCCCAGGTATCGAGATTTGCTCATAGGGCCTGGCTATTGAGGCATGCATTTCAGCTGAAGGGGCTATTAACCAAAGAACAAGGCCCTGTTCAACGCTGCCCCCCTGTATGGAGAAATACATGCCCCTAGCTTCTGTTTCAATGATCAATTTGGACGGAAACCATGTCTGACCATGGTTTAAATTCAGTGTTAACAAACAACATGTAGCCCACCGACCGGTTCTCCTTCCTGAGCAAGGCAGCAGAATCTTCGGAAGTCTTCTTGTGTTCATTGACCTCGCAGGGCTGCATAGATGATACGGTGGTCTTTAATCAGGAGCAATGGACCCATCTCCTTGGGGATGTTCAGGAAAGTCCGGAGATACTTTCATTTTGTTGCATCTGGGTGGTGTGCTAATGGCATCTGCAGGGTAGAGACCCGGGACAGCCCTCACCACACAGAATGATTCAGCCCCGCTGGTCAGTAATGGGAAGGGGGGTGAGAGAGCCTGGCACAGAGACTAGGTGCTATAACAGCCTGGGAGGGTCCAGGCTTACAGAGAGGAGTGTCCTAGGGCTGGAGTAGAAGTGGTCAGCTACAGAAGGGAAGAAGCAGCCCAGGGGGTCCAATGTGATACATTTTCCATACAACATGCACCTTTCTGCTCCAGACTCCAGCATTCCATTGCCCCGGATGCCTCCTTGCTAATGACAACTGTTTCTGTGTTTGAAATCTTAGCATTACCAGCACTCTGAGAGAGGTCTTGGCTCTGAAATCTTGGCACTTTCGGGTTTCCCTGAGTCTGTGCGTATGTCATTGCCTTTACTGTTGTTCGTTGCAGTCAGTTTGGTTCCAACTCACAGTGACCCTGTGTACAACAGCATGAAACACTGCCTGGTCCGGTGGCATTCTCACAGTTGCTGTTATGTCGGAGCTCGCTGTGGCAGCAACTGCCAATCCATTTTGTGGATGGTTTTCCTCATTTTTGCCATCCTTCTACTTTACCAAGCATGATGTCCTTTGGGTGTAGCGGGTTACGTGTTGAGCTGCTAACCACAAGGTCTGCACCCCCCAAACTGTGTCACTTCACAAACCCTGCATAGGGTGGCGATGAGTCAGAATCAACTCAGTAGCTGTGAGTTTTTTGTTGTCTTTAGGTACGCCAAGTCGGTTCTCAGCCACAGTGGCTGAAGTGCATGAGATGCAGTTTCACTGTCTTCCTTCTAAGGAAAGTTCTGGCTGTCTTTCTTTCAAGACAGATTTGTTCATTCTTCTTACAGTCCATGGTGTGTGCAAAATTCTTCACCAACAGCATAATTCAAAGACACCCATTTTTCTTTGCTTTTCCTTCATGGTTGTCCAGTTCTTTTATGCATGTGCGATGATTAAAAATATCACAGCTTGGGTCAGGCGCAACTTACTCCTCAAAGGGACACAGTAGTTAACACTTTTTTAAACTAGATAACACATAGGGCACCTTTATATGAGTTACTTTAACATCAAAATCAGACAAGACTTCCCAGGAAGGAAGGATCAGTGAACTTTAAACCCATTGAGCAGATCTCGAAAGTAAAACCAAGAGAAAGAAAGTAACACATTTAAATTACATAGTCAATCGGTCTTAAGTGAGGTCACCTTGCATCTTATCACCATGCGGGGAATAGAGTTACGGAGTTACATCTTACCCAGACGGGTCACGAAAGCATGCACCAAGGACCATCCTTTGCTGTCTGTTCCTGGTCGTTCAATCGATGGTGACGATGATGAGGCATATTGAGCTATTATGCACCAGGCACTGTTATTTGTGCTTTCCATGCATTAAGCCATCGGATCAGTTTTTAACATTTTAAAGAGGTCCTTTGCAGCAGATTTGTCCAATTAAATTTGTATTTTGATTTCTTAGCTGCTGTTTTTATGGGTGTTGATTGTAGATTGAAGTAACATGAAATTCTTGATCATTTCAATCTTTTCTTCGTTTATAACAATGTTGTCTGCTGGTGCACTTGTATAGATTTTTGTTTTCTTTAGGCTAAAGTGTAGTCCATATTGAAGGTTGTACCTAGTCTTTGATCCTCAGGCAGGTGAGCACGTTCTGTCCTAAATCTCATCTGTGGATACGGACTAGCAATGCATAGCCGGAACGACAGGAAACGACATCTCCAAGAAGCCCTGGCCAGCAGTGTTTGTTTCATTTTGCTAATGAGGACACACTTGGTAAAGCCATCCTCTGGTGGTGGCTGCAAGTAGGTGACAATGGCTTCAGGGGCATGCCTGAGAACCATCCCTTCAACACTGTAGGAAACCTAGGATGTTGGTGGTGGTTCCGGTGCCTACTTACTGATCAAGTTTCCTGACTTTCTTCCCTCTAACCCTCTGTGAATTGTTTCCAAAATCAAACCAAACTCGCTCTCATCAAGTCGATTCTGAGTTTAGTTGCGAATCCTTTTTTTAAAACAGATTTATTGTTACACAAACCACATCCCATACACGTCAATCGTTCTATCATATCAAGAAGATTTGTACAATCATTACCATCAATTTTATTACATTTTCTTCCGTTTTTATTCCCCCACGATTAAGTTGCCTTTAAAGTGCGTTGTGTTATCTCCCACTCCTGTCTTCATTGCTTACGCCTGAAATCTCTCCATCCTCCCCATATGCACTCCCCCACCCTTACATCCCCTACCAACCTTTGCATCACTTATTATCGCTATGCATCCACTACTTCTGTGCTTCTCAGACTGTTACCCAACAGAAGCGGTAAAGAACCAAATCAAAATACAGTGGTAAGGATAAAACAATAGTAATATAAAGATAAAAATGAAAGTAATGAGTTAGAAAGTAAAGACCACCATCAATAGTTTAAAAACCAGGGAAGAAAAAAAATTGATCGTTTCATTAGGGGCTCATACAACTCTTATCACAATCCATACATACATCAACTGTGTAAAGCACATTTGCAGATTCATTGCCCTCATCATTCTCAAAATATTTGCTCTCCACCTAAGCCCCTGGCATCAGCTCCTCAATTTTCCCCTCACTCCCCCCTCCCTCATGAACCCTTGATAATTTATAAATTATTATTTTGTCCAACGTCTTGCACTGTCCGATGTCTCCCTTCACCCACTTTTCTGTTGTCCATCCCCCAGGGAGGAGGTCACATGGAGATCCTTGTAATTGGTTCCCCCTTTCCAACCCACCCTTCCTCTACCCTCCCAGTATCGCCACTCACACCACTGGTCCTGAAGGGATCATCCGCCCTGGATTCCCTGTGTTTCCAGTTCCTATCTGTATCAGTGTACATTCTCTGGTCTAGCCAGATTTGTAAGGTAGAATTGGGATCATGAGAGCGGGGAAGGAGGAAGCATTTAGGAACTAGAGGAAAGTTGTATGTTTCATCATTGCTACATCGCACCCTGACTGACTCGTCTCCTCCCTGAGACCCTTCTGTAAGGGGATGTCCAGTGGCCTACAAATGGGCTTTGGGTCTCCACTCCGCACGCCCCCCCCCCATTCACTATGATAAGATTTTTTGTTCTGATGATGCCTGATACCTGATCCCTTGGATACCTCGTGATCGCACAGACTGGTGTGCTTCTTCCATGTGGGCTTTGTTGCTTCTGAGTTGGATGGCCACTTGTTTACCTTCAAGCCTTTAAGACCCCAGACGCTATGTCTTTTGATAGCCGGGCACCATCAGCTTTCTTTGCCACATTTGCTTATGCACCCATTTGTCTTCAGCAATTGTATCATGGAGGTGAGCACACAATGATATGATTTTTTGTTCTTTGATGCCTGATAACTAATCCCCTCGGCACCTCATGATCACACAGGGTGGTGTGCTTCCTGCATGTGGGCGCTGCTGCCCCCGAGCTAGATGGCTGCTTGTCTACCTTCAAGCCTCCGAGACCCCAGATGCTAGGGAAGTCATGAAACAAGTAAGAGATCTTTCCATCTAGAACAAATTCAGACTGGGTCTAGAGCAGTGGTTCTCAACCTGTGGGTCGTGAACCCTTTGGGGGTGGAACGACCCTTTCACAGGGGTAGCCCGATTCATCACAGTAGCAAAATGACAGTGATGAAGTAACAATGAAAATAATTTTATGGTTGGGAGAGTCACCACATGAGGAACTGTATTAAAGAGTCACGGCATGAGGAAGGTTAAGAATCACTGGGCTAGAGGGAGGGCAACCGACCAAGTATCACGTTTGACGCTGCATAATCAGGATTACAATGAAAAAAATAGGGACCAGTTCACAAATTTGGGTGTCATCCTTGTGCAGGGGCCATGGTTCTCTGCACAATTCCAATTTTGGTATATGTGCTTCCAAAGCGAGCACTGGTTGTGTATCTTTATGGGAGTAGAAAGCCTCGTCCTTTTGCCACAGAGCAGCTGGTGGGTTCAAGGTGCCGACCCTGCAGTTAGCAGCCCAACCCGTAACTGAGTATGCCACCAGGCTCCTTGGGAGTTGTATAAATCTCTCTCATTCTCTATGGAAAGTCCTTTATGCTAAAAATACCAAGAGTTACTTCTGTTTTCATGGCTAAACCTTGACTGACCATCTACACTTTGACATGCCAGTGTTGAGGGTTAATTGGTGGGTGGGGTTGGGCGCGAGTAACAAGGTCTCAAGATATTTGAAAGATGCTAGCACAATGAAGCAAATCCATTATACTGGAAGTCAAGGTGAAGTCATTTTGAGAGGAAGGGAGATCCTCTGTGATGAATGTTCTCTCATCTGCCAGGTTGTGTTAAACTGATGGATTAAAAAGCAGCGCAGATTTTGAAGATGGGGAGTGAAGCCCTCTGTAAATCTGCACAGGCAAGGGCAGACGGAAAGAAGAGCTGGCCATGGAAATCTCATTAGGATGCATGCAGTGGTGGCACTATCTGACTTCTCTCGGGCCCCATGCAGTGATACTTAGGGTACTGTGTGGTGCTCTTAAGTGAAAAGGACATTTACCACAAAAATTAAGAATCCTGGGTGACTGTGCAGGTCATAAATCTACTGTATAAAGGTTCCTTGAGAGATCAGAAAGGTAGCATTTTTAAAGTCCAAATGCCCGAGTCATCTAAGGAAATGCATGGATGCTTAGTTAATATACTTCCAAGGTAGCCAAGTGTTTGCCATTCTCTATTTGAGCTTCTTGCCACTGTTCACTCAGAGGTTGGGGACAGGAATTTTTCAGCCAGAGACCCTAATTAGCATAATTTAGGATTTTTAAAAATCATTTTATTATGGACTCATACAACTCATCACAATCCGTACATACATCAAT